ACCCTGTGCCTGGGGTCTTTTCTTGTTACTGCACTAAGTACTTCTCACTTAATCTGGCTCACCTGGACAGGTGGAGCAAGAGTGAAATTGCCTTCCGGCAGAGGACTCTTATAGTCCTCGGATATAGTTTGCAGAGGAGCCTGTTCGGTGGCGACTGCTAATCCCAGTTCAGTGTTATGACAGCTGCTTGTTCAACACAGTTTTGAAATGGGCACTGGAGGAGAGGGGGGGTGTGAAAGAGAGAGAACCATGTGCATTTCATTGCCTGATAATTCCTCCCATGCTCGTAAACTTGCTACGATACGTCTCTTACAAGGCTCACAGTACCATACAGTTTTGAAAAAAAAGGTTGCAAAAATCCGAGATTAATTCTGGCTATCTTTGTGACTGCTCCCGTTCAGACCTCTTCCAAAATGTCTCCATCACTTTCCTGACAGTTGGAATTTATAAGCAGCATGTTTTTTTTTCCCCCAAGTTGTCTTAGTAGCACATTTATTGTGTAAACCCATTTAAATTCTGTTTTTATTGCCGCGTGTAGAGGCTGCTTATGACTGACAGCCTTGTATGTGGTTATGCTAGCGCCTAGAGTTCAGTGGGGATTTGCTGTGCTGGGTGCTGCACTTGCCTAGGAATAGGCAGATGTTTTTTTCATACTTTGGGCAGTTTATAGCAGAAGGCTGAAATTTTACCAAGTTCATGGGTGGACTCTCCCCTGCCCCCAAGTGCCATTGGTCTACTTGTATGGCTTTCTCTGTAGGAGTCGAGGCTTGGAGAAGACATCTATATTGGGGCGGAGAGGGGTAGGGGAAAAATATGAGGTTGTACTCGCCTGCTGTATTATATTTTCAGTAAGACAAATAACTTTTGCTGTTTGTTTGACCAGGATGCTTCTCCGTTTAGCTGCTCTCTATTGGCTCAGGTCTTCTTGGCATTGCTGCAGAAGGGGGTTCTGAGCGAAGTGCTTTACATACCTCTTTGGGGAAGATGGGGACACAGTGCAGAGGCTGTCAACTAGCAGCTTGGAAGAGCAGAGGCAACCTAGACACAGCAGCCTGGAGGTACCTGCTTCTGAAAGTAGCTTGCTAGTAGTGGTAGAGGCCTCCAAGGCAGCTTTAAATGAGGTAGTACTGGAAGCAGTGCCTACATAACCAAGCTCCTGTGTATGGGAGGGGCTCACTAGATCTATCTTAGAGCCACAAGAGCTAGGTACTTGCCAATCTTCAGCAGGATATCTGTTGGCATTAACTTCTAATTGTCCATAATTACTATAGCATTACTACTACTAGCACCTGGATTTTAATTTTTACTACTACTAGTACCTGAACATTGGGCTGCCCTATGGCCCTCCCTTCCTGCCTTTCTATGATAAGGGAGCTCTTCCCATGCTATCGATAAGCTCAGAATTGTGCTGTCAAGAAGCTTCATTTCCAATGGACTCTACATTTCAGACACGACGCACAGGCCGAATTAGATTCGGTCTCTGTGGATTCATGCTGTGAGTTGGATCTGTCTGGTCTAGTTTAAAACAGCTAAGACGTAAACTCTGGTCGTGCAGTCCTCAGAGAGATGGCCACAGCCCTGCTAGCAACAGCTGTGGTTTTTAAAACCTGTTCCACCAACTATGTGAGTATGGCATGAATTTATCCATTGTCCACCCAGCACTAAAAGATTTCACTGTCCCTTTATGAATATTGTTCTTTCTACAGCGCTTAATTTCCCTTCCTTCATAGCTTGTTCTTCCTTGGCTAGCTGTTGTGCATAGCCCTTGCTGCCTGTGTTCTGCCGTTTTAATTTTTTTTTAAACAAACATTGTGTATATGGTTTTAACTCTGCTGTTCTCTTCTCTTGTTCTGTAATTGCCACCCTGCTGCTCCTGTCTCCTGTTGTCACATCAACCCACTCGCAGTTTAAAGGTCTGTGATGGCTGTCCTCTGCCAAAGGCAGAGTGGAGTGGCAAAAAATTTGGGAGCAGAAAGGAATGGAGTTACAGGGGGAAAGAAAGATTGTTGTAAAAAGTGGTAGTAAAAGTGTAATGCATCAAAAGTGCCAGAAATCAAAATTCTAGTGGTGTCTTGGTTTGCTTGTGCCTGCTCCAGCTGGGGCTGTGTGCACCTGTCACAGGTTCTGTGGCCTTTGAAAATGAAGGTGTTGCTGGTGTATTATGCTAACGTGCCCTACATCTTGCTGCAGATTGAAAACTTCTCAGCCTCTCCCTTTTTCACCCCTCCAGTTGTAGTGTTCTCCCTTCCTGTGCCATATCCCAAGCCATCATCCGAGCTCAGACTTGGAGGAAATGCTGCGTTGCTTTGTCTGCGTAGCTTTGTCCTCATTTTTACTGGCTGTAGAAGTCACCGGTGGCAGTGAGGGTTTGAATTGCTGCCCCCAGGCTCTTGCCCAGCTGAGGGATGCCTTGGACAAAGCAGCAAAAGACCTGCATGGTGCAGTTTCTCAGTCCCCTCCAGCTCAGGACTCCTTTCTGATCAGCCAAGTGCATCACTTTGCAGTGGGCCCTGGGCTGATTCATCCACATATGAGATGTAGGTGGGAGAACTGGGTTTGGGCTGTCCGCTTCACCGTGAGCGAGTCTCCCCTTCCCCCTGTGCCTGCAGTACCAGCTCCTTGCAAGCTGTATTGGGAATTAGCTCTGCCTCTCAGCTAATCACTTGTATCTGATTCAGTTTCCAGGCCGAGCGCCCGGCATTAAATGTCGTCATTTTCCCTCTGCTCCATGAGGACTTGACCGAAGTCATCAGAGATGTCCCCATGATGCACTTGGACGAAATTACCTTGTTTAAAAGCAGAGTGGCTGAAGAGCCTCCGAACCTGTGGTGGTGACCCTGCCATCACGTGCGGGATGGTGGGAGCGAACCTGTGAAAACAGCTTCTTGTTGGCCTGCATTGTCTCTTCCCGACCTCGAGGCCACCTGCCTGGATGCTGGACAGTCACTTTAACTCAGTTCAATTGCAAAGCAAAAAAGAGCTCGAACTCTGTATTGGGTAGTGCTTACACCTGAAAATCCAGCCTCGAGGTCTCTGGAACCATGTGGGTGTATTTCCCTGCGGTTAATAATGAATTCCTCTGTTACTTTGTGTTAGTTTAAGGTAAGCCACGCTAATGTAACGAACTCCCTGCTCCTTTCCTTCCACCTCTCGTTGCCCGGTTCATTTGTTTGTGTACTTTGGCAGTATGCTCTGTTGTTTTCCTGGTGCCTGTCCTTTGCTTGACTCTGGTATTGGCAAGGAGGAGGACTGATTCCAGGGGAGCATTCGTGTCCCTCTAGTTAAAGTGGACCCCAAGCTGTATTGTTGAGGTGAAATGCAGCATCTCTCTTGCGCTGTGAATGCATACATGGCTCTGTGTGCAGTGAAGTGTATTTAGGCGTATTTTCTGTTGAGAAAATCTGTTTTTAATAACCAATTATGACCGTTCACATTTTGCAGCCATCGTTACATTCTCCTTGCTCTTTGGTGTTCCGGTTGCTTGACCTTGGCGGCAGAAATTCCTCGTTTTGTCTTGGAAATCTGCTTTCTCAAACCCTGTGTTAGCAAGTGTCTGGCATGGGCCCCACCTATCCTGAGGCCATCACCGGAGCTTTAAACCCAGTGAAAAGGCTTTTCCATCGTGCACTGGAGCTGCGGCTCTGGTGTTCCTACTCTGTCTCTGCACGCTGTGCTGGAGCGCATGCTGACTTAGAGACCCTATGAAGTATTTTTTCCAAGTGCCATTTCAATAGGCTCACTTGCTCCACTGAACGTCATTAGGAGTGTGTAATGGCCTGCATCACATCTTCAGGTTGCCTTATGTATCCAGCACTTTCTGAAGCGGCAGACAGCTGTGCCAGATGCCAAAGTGCACGTTCTTAGAGTCAGTTTTCCAGGAAATCCTGCTCTGTGGAGAGTTCTGTGGTACAGGCTATCCACTAGAGTTTCTTGAATGCTTGGTGATGATGAGCTAAGCAGATGTGCTGTGACATCATTCCTGGAAGGAAACCCAGTATTTCTCCAGGTGGCATCATCATTTCCTGCCCAGTATTTCCCCCACAGTAGTGCCATAGCTGCATGTGCTGTCCAGTGCACAGCTGCTCCTGGGAATCATGTCATCATTGCAGAGGGATAGATCTGAAAGCAGACTTCATCTTCATGGATCAAACCTCAGCTGCTCTTTCCCTACTCTTGATTGCTGGGGATCCTGGTTTTCTCTAATTAAAAAAAAAAAAAAAATCTAAATTCCCTGATTTAACCCCCTCCCCCCATCTGCATATTTCCATGATTAAAACAAAATGCCATTATCAATCAAAATAATATATAATGACATTTTGCTTTAATCACGGAAAAATGTGGATTTTTTTTGTTAAATCAGAAAATTTGAGACTTATCGGAGAAAACCAGGATCCCTGCTGATTTTGCCAGCATCTGGCTAAATAAGTCTGGAAGCTCCTGTCTTGCATGTTAAATCCTGGACCAGCCCCAGCTAGTACCTACAAGTAGGGCACGGAGTCACAGAGCACTTCCAGACTTCTCTCAGCAGAAGCCTAATGGTGCAAACATGCGTGTACGGGTTCATTTAGTAACACGTTTGTGCTCCTCTTTATGGGTAGGAGCTCCACTCGGACAGGTTAGCCTTTCTGCAGACTTTTCCCTGTCCTTCCCTGGGGAATGGGGATTTAACATCCTCCTTCCCCTCAAGCCCAGCTGCCCAGAGAAGGGGAGCTAGTGTTAAGCCTCTGGCCATGTAGCTAATAGATGCTGTCAAGTGAGTTTGTGCCCTTGCTTCAAGCAGGTGTCCTGCAGCACAGCATCAGCCAAGCTGCTAGCAGGGTGCTCCAGTGCTACATAGGACTTTCGAACCATCTCTGACTTGTGGTTTGGTTTTCGGTTAAGCAAGAGCATGGAAGGGAGTAACTGCCCTTTTCATCAAGTGCCCTACCACTGTTTATTGTCTAGCACTCCCAGAACTCGCACTTTTTCTACCCATCCTGTATCTCTTGTCTGTCTTGTGCCTTCTCCTTCTGAGGTAAGCTGCAGTATCCCCTAACTCCCAGATGGAAGGGGATCTCGGAAGGGGTGTAAGCCACTGCCCTGTCAAGTTGAGGCCATGTTATCTCTGCCAAGCTGCTGGCTTGCTTCCTTCCTGCACATGCATTACTGGGGAGAGGCAAGGAGGGATTTTTGAAGCTCTGCCAAAGGATGTTTTTCTACCTGTATCCCCATTGCCTGCAATATCAGCGCTGGAGAGGGAATGCAAAGGGGTTAAAGGTATGGAGCCAGCTCCACTTCATGCATAAAGGGATGGATCCCATGCACTAATGATGTCCTGCATCAGCTCCTTGCTGGCACCTGAATGTTTCTAAAATAAACCCTTCCCCACCTCGACCCAGGATATCCCCTTGTGATGTGCACTTTGTGCATCCATGAGGATGGCTCCATGAGCTCCAGTGCTGAGGGAGCCAGCAGCTCCTGTGTCCTTCTTGTTGGTGGCTTCAGTGGCACCTGCTGGCTCCTTTTCAGATCTGGGGCAGCTGCTGAAAAGGGGTCGTTCGAGTGGATTCATGGGAGCAGGTAACCATTCCTAATAGCAGCAGTGACGATCCTAACTAGACCAGCCACAGGTAGGAAAGATGGTATCTCAAGAAGCAGTAAGGAGACCAAAAAAAATCTCCCTTCCCCACTCCCTCAAATCTGTGGCCCTGTGCTCAGCATCCCCTCTACAAATCCTCTTACTGCAAGTGAGAATTTCCGCTGCTTGTGCACTCCAGGCAGGATTCACCAGATGTTAATAATGTGCTTATTTTCTCTAAGTGCTATTTTGGCATCGGTGTTAATTACAATTTATATTCTGCAACATTTACACTGGGAAAGGAACCCACCCTAATAGTCCCCAATTGGCAGAGCTGGGCTATTAAACATAGCACCATATGCTCTGTACAGAGGAGTATATGGGGCTCGCAGCCGTGTCAGCGCAGAGGTTCCAACGTGCCACATTGGGGAGGAGAGAATACAGGGACTGGGGTTTTTTCCTCCTGTATTTTATTCATTTACCCCCCACTCCACCCCTCTTGTTCCTGGTTCTTATTTAATACCAAAGTCTGTCTCTTCTTTCCCCATCCCCTGCAGCCCCTCCTTGCCATCTGGGGGTGTCTGGATGAGATGATCTTCTGAGCCCACTAACACCGTTTTCTTTAGATACCTCTATGGCCATGTGCGCTAAGGAAGTGGCAGAAGTTGAAATAAGGAGTTGTCTGTAATCTCACTTGTGCCAGAGCGGGTGTTGCAAAGGGGCTCCGAAGTCCAGCAGCCCTGCGCGCTCCAGCCATCGGAGGTGACTTGATTTGTGTGAGAGAGATTGCACTAGTGCTTGGGTCAGTGAGCTTGGAAAGGTGCCTGCTGGGGGACACAAGCCTGCACGGGGCTTCTCCTCTCCCTTTTGGGCTCTCTTTAGCTGCCGTCGTGCCCCCTAGCACCAGCTCTGATGGGGTGCTGTGATGCCGTCACCCCCCACATAGCCAGGTTCCCAGTGCTTGGAGAGACTCAGCCTGTCGTCTCATAGACTGGCATCTGAGGCGGAGATGAAAGGGAAGGTGAGAGAGTGCGGGTCAGTAGTCAGACTGTGGGGCCGCTGGCTCCCTATGTGACCTGGGGCAAGTGCTTTAGTCCTGCACCTCCCTTTGCCCCGTATGTAAAATGGGGGTGCATATTCATCAGCCCAGGGGCAGGGTGCTGGAAAGCCGGATCTGCCTGAGAGCAGCAGCTGGGGTGGAGCCCTGGGGGGATGATGGGAGCAGGGCTCAGTTGCTCAGCCTGGCCTGGCAGGGAGGGCACTGCCACTGCCTGCTGCCGTCCACATGGAAATCTGGCTTTCTTGGGAGCGAGAGAGATACAAAACACTAAGGGCGTTAGGGAGCTTTTCAGGCAGGGGCTGTACGTTTTCCCGTCCTGGGATGTGTCCTGCTAACAGTGGGCTGTCCCTGAGCAGGGCTGGGGGAATAATTTTCCCCTCGCTCTCCCTGTCCGAGGTGGGAGGGCTGGGAGTCCTTCGTGGATCAGGTACCAGTGCTCTCCCCTCCTGTTCTGCCCACTTCCACCTCCTCCTGGATCCAGCCACCTCCGTAACTCTCGCACTGCGGTATCCCCGCTGCACAAACATCCTAGTCACTTAGCAAAAATGAGTGCCCCAGACAGCGCAGCAGGTTTGTCTGATCTGCTTACGGGCGTCTCAGCCCACTACATGCTGATCCTGGCTGATGCCCCGTCCAGACAAAGCTTTTCCCCCCTGCCTGGAGAAGTATAAACCCACAAAGAAGGAAGCGTTACAAGCGGTGCTGAGCTACTGCAGAGGAAAATCTCTCTCTCTCTCTTTGCAGGGTCTCCTCCCCGTTCGATCGGAGGCACAGGCAGCCGGGGCACTCTAGCAGGAGAATCATTTCCATAGAAACCAATCAGGAGGTTGTATGGGGAATAATGATTAATAGTGAAAGGATGTTGCCTCAGGCCCTTTTCATTTTTTAGGGGGCAGCGAGGGACACCACAGCACGGAGCAGAGCACAGGTAGGGGGACACGCAGCCTTTCCAACTAATGAAAATCAGCTCTTCCATTAATTTCCAGGCCAGCTCCCTCTGCCCGCCCCCGACGGCTGCTTTCCAGCTTTCTTTGAATGTACAAAATGGCCAACCTGGTTAGAAATAATAATAATAAAAATGGATGGATGGGGCCTGACTATTAACATTGTTGCTGTTAGCAGCAGGATTTCAGCCATAAAACATGAAGCAAGGGAGACATTGACCTTTCTGCTGTTTGAAATGAATGGAGACATCGATATCTATTGTTTCCAGTGGCATTGACCTCTGACACCCTCGTTTCTCCCACCCCCTCCTTTTTTTTTATTTCCCCCTGACACTGGAGGAAAGGGGTCAGTTGGCAACATCTACTGATCCCGTTCGTTCTCGGTGATAGGGAAATAATTAGAATTTTGAAAGTCCTACAATGTGCCGGCCAAAACCGTATCTACGCCTCATAGAAATTCAAAGCTCCCAGATCGAGGGAAGATGGATCGGTATAGGTTTAATTGCTATGTTGTTTTTGCTATTTATTTATTTTTATTTTAGCTTTTAAACTGGTAAAAGTGTGTGTGTGGGGGGAGGGGTTTATGTGAATACCCGTGGAGTCTGGATGCCTGGTGCCTTGTCTTATTTATTTATTTTTGTAAGTCGCCCCTCTTGTATGAACTTCATCTCTGCACTGAGAATGCAAAATCAGGCATGGCTAATTAGCTGTATGACAATTAAGTAATGTAGCACAAAACCATTAGGACACTGGATGCGTTTTTGAAGTTTGTCCTTTGAAGTGGAAGCTGCAACTCCCTGCCCAAGGCTGCTGGGGAAATGTTTGTCTATCAAAACTTTCTTTGAAAATAAATGCCAGCATGAGAGTCCCTGTCC